CTTCTGCCGGTACTCCTCCTCCTGTCGCTCCTACGCCTCCTCGTCGTCGAAGGTGAGCTCGGCGTAGGCGTCGACCGAGACTGGCGTCTTTGGGGTGCGCCTGGTCTGCTCCGCGTCGATGAAGCTGCCTACGCAGCTTGTCGGCGTAGCCCTGCTTGTGCAGCCACAGCTTCCCCGCCGACCTGTCGCGGACGATCTCCAGCCCAAGGTACTTCTGCACCGGCGAGATCTCACGCAGCTCGAAGGCGGACTCCAGCAGCTCCTTCAGGTCCTTCAGCATCTCTGTGCTGCTGCTGGCGGCTAGCAGGTCGTCGACGTAGACCAGCACCCAGCAGGCCACTCCGTCCTTGCCGACCTTGAAGTAGAGAGCCTTGTCGACCTGGCTCTTCTTCCACCCGGCGTCGACCAGCACGTCGTTGAGCGCCAAGTACCACAGCAGCGGCGACTGCTTCAGCCCGTACAGGCTCTTCAGCAGCTTGCACACCCGACCGGTTCCATCGTTGAAGTAGTCCGGCTGGGACATGTAGAGCACCCGGTCGAGCTTGCTCTGCAGGAAGGCGTTCTTCATGTCGAGCTGCATCGGGTTGAGGTTGAGGACGGCAACGATGCTAAAGAAGATCCTCAGCGTGACGTAGCTGCCCACCGGCGCGAACGTCTCGTCGTAGTCTGCGCCATACACCTGGGTGAAGCCCTTCACGACCAACCTCGCCTTCTCGCGCTCGACGGTGTCATCGACGTGGTACTTTGTCGTCAACACCCACCGGTTTTTCATGATGTTGATCCCCGGCGGGCGTTCCACCAGCTCCCAAGTTCCCATGTTGATGAGGCTGCGGATCTCCTCCTCCATGGCGGCCTTCACCGCCGGGCCCTTCCAGCTCGCCAACGCCTCCTTCACCGTCATCGTCGAGATGTCCCAACAGTGTTCGGGGTCGGCATGCATGTCGGGGTCGAGCTCCGGAAACTCCTCATCCTCCTCGGCGTCGTCGTACAGCAGGTCGTCGTCATCATCGTCCACGTCGTACACCGTGGTGAAGGCAGCGGGGACGAAGAAGTGCGGTGGCCTCCGAAGTCTCTCCGACTTCCGGGGTTCAGGCCGAACCTCCACCACATCGCTGTCGGTGGACTTCTCCTCTTCGTCACCGGCTTCGGTGCCCTCGTCGTCTTGCTGCACGTCGGTCGACTTCTTGGTCGACCTCTCCCCTGTGGTCGGCTCCCCTGCCGACTGCCCAGTCGCCGACTGCTCCGTGGTCGGCGTCACTGCTGCCTGCTCCCCTGTCGGTTGCTGCTTCTCGACCTGCTCCTCCCCTATCGACTTCGGCTTCAATCCCACTGTCGACTTGCCGCTCATCACGTCGGCCACCGGCGATGCCCTTGGCCGGCGCCGAAGACGACGTCCCACTACTCCCCTCATCGCCGGAGGCCGACCTAGGAGTCAGCCCATGCGGGTCGGCCACGAGGGGAGGGGCAGGGGACGGAGGACAAGGGGAAGGAGGGTGGACGACCTCGGCGTCCTAAGTAGCAAGCTCACGACCTCGGCGAGCAGAGGCAGCGTCGCCGTCGAGGTGTTGGTCGGCGGGGTAGTAGGCGTCCAACCAGACACCGGCCCGTGCTCCGACTTCCACACCTCTAGTGAAATATCCTCGTAGAACACTGCGTCCGACGTGGTGACCACCCGGTTGGCGTCGATGTCGAGGAGCTCCCAGCCCTTGCTCTCCCTTGACACGCCAAGGTGAAGGCCCCACCTGGCCTGCGGCTTCAGCTTCCCACCACGCTGCTGCTCGGGGACAAGGAACTGAGCCATGCAGCCCCACACCCGCACCATCGACAAGTCGGGCTTCTGCCCTGGTCAGCAGCTGGTACGGTGTCGTCCTCGGCGGCAGCGTCGACCGCTCAAGGCAGTTGCGGACCCAGACGGCCTGCCGCAGATCGAGGTGCCACTAGTGGTGCTGCACGCCCATGTGCAGCAACATCGTCTGCACTGACTCCACCACCATCCTCATCTCCCGCTCCGCCATGCCGTTCTACTGCGGGGTGTACGGGCAGGTAAGGTCGTGGACGATCCCCTTGCCGTCCACGAAGTCGGTGAACTTCTTCCCGAGGAACTCCCCTCCTCGGTCGGAGCGAAGCATCAGCACCGACTTCTTCGTCTGCCTCTCCACCAACACCAGCCACTTATGGAACTCCAGCAGCACATCCGACTTCTTGGCGACTAGCCTCACCCACACGAAGCGGGTCTTGCGGTCCTTCAGCAGCAGGAAGTACAAGCTGCCGTCCTTGGCACCCACACGGAACGGCCCGCACAGGTCGATGTGCACGACGGCCAGCACGTCGTCAGCGTCGGAGCCTTGGTTGGGGAAGGTGTGCTGCGCCAGCTTCCCACCGACGCACGAGACACACGGTGAGTCGGCGCCCGTCGCCGACTTGAGGTCCAGCCTAATGGCGACCTCGTTCTTCGCCGAGCTCCTGATGGTGTCCATGCCAACGTGCGCAAGTCTCGCGTGCATCCGGTTCCGGCGTCGACTTCGTCTTCGAGACGATCGCCCGCAGGGCCACAACCTCCGGCGTGGGCGACGTCGACCTCGTGGGGCAGGGACGCAGGTCGGTGCAGAGGACTCTCCCGGAGTACGTCGCCCGACCGAGCACCTCTCCAGCCGTTGAGACGAGCAACATTCCGTCTCCGTCCTCTTGCAGCTTCACGCCGTGCTCCTTCAGCTGGCCGGATGACAGCAGGTTGGCTCGCACACCCGGGACATACAACACATCGGGGATGAGCACCTGCTTCCCGGCCTCTTCCTTGCAGAGCTACGGTGCCGCGGCCCTGGACGTCTTGCAGCGCCCCATTGAAGCCCCGCACGTGCTTGATGGAGCCGCTCGGCTGCAGGTCGACGAAGACTTCCTTCGTCCCCATCAGGTGATGGGAGCAGCCGCTGTCGAGCAGGACCACCGCCGGGTTTGCCTGCACAGCTGCCGCCACCGCCTGGAAGTTCTCTCCGGCCTCCGGCGCCAGCGAGACGGTCGGCTCCACGACGCCGACCAGCGAGCACGACACCGTCTTGTCGTCCCGCGCCTTGCCGCCTGCAGAGGAGTCGGCGTTCTTTTGTTGAGGACGACGTCTTGGTCGAATGCTTCTCCTTGCGCGGCTGGTTTCCCCCTCAACGAGGACGACGACTGTTAGACCTCCCGCGTCCTCCCTTGGCGTCGTCGTCTTCGGAGTCACTGCGGTCGGGGCACTCAAAGGAGAGGTGGTCAGGGGCTGCAGCAGATCCAGCACTCCCGACGTCGAATTCCTCCTCCTCGACCGCTATCCTTGGTCGACGTCTTCTTGTCGACCTCTTTGGCTAGCTTCCAGCCACTGCTACCGCCGCCGCCAGACTGTCCGCGCTGCCCCGGTCGACCTCCTTGCTTTGCCGAGGCGACGAAGTTCGCCTGCGCCAAGAGCTCCTGTGTGAGGATCTAGGATCGAGCTCAGAAAAGAGAGTTGTAATTGAATTGAATTGAATGATCACCTGGGTACAACACGAGGCTATATATAGGCTCGACACAAGGCCTAGTAACCAGGTGTTACGCGAAGGTTCCGCGGGTCGCGAAGCGTCCCGAACAGATCCTTCACGAATTCGGTAGAAGGCAATTCGGTGGCAACCGAAAAGCCAGAATTCGGTCCACGCAACCTAGCTCGGTGCTATAACTATAATAAAATATAGGAAAGCACCTAGCCTAGGAAATCAAGCAATTCATGCATGCATATAATTATCCTATGCTAGAAATAGCATAATAAAGTAAAGGCTGTCAGAACATTATAGCTCATGCATATTGTGTAGGCTATAGTGGGGTAGCCCATAAGGGGTACAACCCAATTAGGGTTAGTACTTGTACCCAATTCATTCATAGTTCATTCATTCTCGTTTCTTTTCATGGTATCGAGCAGGTTCCCTAACGGGAACGATTCCTAGGGCCCACCACTACGAAAAACAAATTTCCAGCCCGGAGCACGTTCCCCTAAGGCCCGAGTCACGCCTCGTGTGCTTTCCTTACAGTCGCGCCCTCGCTAGGCCCCTCACGGCCCCGTCGCGTCGCCCTTAGCGGCCCCTCGCGGCCTCGTCGCGCTGCCCTAGCGGTCGCGTCGCGCCGCCCTAACGGCCGCGTCGCGCCGCCCTAGCCGCCCTCACGGCCCCCTAGCAGCCTCTTGCGGCCCCGATCCGCCGCCCTTGCGGCCCCGATCCGCCGCCCTTCGCGGCCCGTAGCCGCTCTCCCCCTGCGGCCCCCCCTCGCCGCTCTCCCCCTGCGGCCCCCCCTCGCCACCCTTTCACCAGCGGCCCCGTCGCCGCCCTTGCACGGCCCTGCCGCCGCCCTCCCTGCGGCTCTGTCGCCGCCCTCTTCAGCGGCCCGTCGCCGCCCTTCTTAGCGGCCCCGCCGTCTCCTTTCAGCGGCCCCGCCACTACCCCTGCAGCGGCCTCGTCGCCGCCCTTTCAGCGGCCCCGCCGCCTCCTTTAAGCGGCCCCGCCGCCTCCTCTCGGCGGCCCCGCCGCCTCCTCTCCGCGGCCCCGCCACCTCCTCTCGGCGGCCCAGCCGCCTCCTCTCAGCGGCCCCGGACGCCGCCCTCTCAGCGGCCCTTCCGCCGCCTCCTTTGCGGCCCCGCCGAGCCGCCCAGCAGCAGAGCCGCCGAGCCGCCCAGCAGCCGAGCCCCCGAGCTGCCCAGCCGCTGAGCCGCCCAGCAGCCGAGCCGCTGAGCCGCCCAGCAGCCGAGCCGCCCTGCCGCCGAGCCGCCCAGCAGCCGAGCCGCCGAGCCGCCCAGCAGCCGAGCCGCCAAGCCGCCCAACAGCCGAGCCGCTGAGCCGCCCAGCAGCCGAGCTGCCCAGCTGCCGAGCCGCCTACCGCCCAGCTGCCGAGCCGCCGAGTCGCCCTGCAGCCGAGCCGCCCGAGCTGCCCTGTCTGGTAAGAGCGGCGCCTCTGTCACTGCACTGCCCTCACCCTACTGTTCGCGCTACTAGTCTACTGCTATCATGGCTACCCCGAGTGTCCTCGCTTTTGACGCTGAGGGTCGGGCCATTGACTTTGACGTCTGGATAGATGACCTGCAGCTTTTCTTACAGTGCGATAGGGCGGACGGTCTCTCTCTCTTTGACCTCACCTCTGGTGCCTCTCCTGCCCCTGCTGCTGATGCTGACGCCACTGTCCGCTCACAGTGGGCCACGCGCGATGGTGCTGCACGTCTTGCTGTGCGTCGCCACCTGCCTACCTCTAAGCGTGCGCACTTTAGCCAGTACAAGAGTGCTCAGACCTTGTACGACGCTGTAGTTGCACGCTACTCATCCCCTGCCACTGCTGCACTGAGCCGCTTCATGCTACCTTACCTCTTCCCTGACCTTGCTGCCTTTCCCACAGTCGCTGACCTCATTACGCACCTCCGCACTAGTGACACTCGCTACCGCGCTGCGCTTCCTGCTGAGTTCTGCACCAAGAACCCCCCCCCTATGTACATCACTCTCTACTACATAGTCACCCACCTCCCTGACTCCCTTCGCGTAGTCAGGGACCACTTTCTCTCAGTCTGTACCCACCACTCTCTCTGTTGACCTCCTCGAGAAGGCTCTCCTAGCAGCGGAGAAGAGCATAGTCGCTGTAGGAGCCTCTCGTGGTGACCCGCGCACCCCCGTCTTTGAGGGGTGTTCCCCCTCCCCCCTTTTGCCCTCTGTTGCCTCTGCTGCTGCGGCCGACCTCGTTGGGCTTGAGTCGGTCGGTGCGGCGTCTACCCCTAGTGGGAGACGCAGCTCTGGCAAGGGCAAGGGGGGCAGGGGCGCTGGAGGAGCTAGCGGGGGCAGTGGAGGCGGCGGTGGAGGCGGCGGAGGGAGTGGGGGTGGCGGTGGGGGTGGTGGCGGGGGTGGAGGTGTCGGTGGCGGCAGTGGAGGCGGAGGCGGAGGCGGTAGCGGTGGGAGCGGAGGTGGTGCAGGTGGCGGAGGTGGAGGAGGCGGTGGCGGAGGAGGAGGAGGAGGAGGTCGTGGCTCTTTGCTAGTGAGAGTACGACAGCTTATGCCAGCTATGCTTGCTTGCCTTTACTTTATTATGCTATTTCTAGCATAGGATAATTATATGCATGCATGAATTGCTTGATTTCCTAGGCTAGGTGCTTTCCTATATTTTATTATAGTTATAGCACCGAGCTAGGTTGCGTGCACCGAATTCTGGCTTTTTCGGTTGCCACCGAATTGCCTTCTACCGAATTCGGTAAGGATCTGTTCGGGACGCTTCGCGACCCGCGGAACCTTCGCGTAACACCTGGTTACGAGGCCTTGTGTGGAGCCTATATATAGCCTCGTGTTGTACCCAGGTGGACATTCAATTCAATTCAATTTGAATCATCTTTTCTGAGCTCGATCCTAGATCCTCACATTTGCAGAGGAGTGGCTCCGGTGGTGGTCAGCGCCAGAAGCAGCAGCGCAGTCGGGAGACCCTGTCCCCTCAGCAGCTCCGTGAGTGGTACGCTGCACGCCAGTGGGGTGGGGGTACTGGTCCGTGCACCTACGTCCTGCGCACCGGCGACCGTCCGGGTGAGCAGTGTGGGGGTGCGCACACCACCCAGCGCTGCTTTGGCCGCCTGACGGACGCTTGGCGTCACCAGTTCCCTGCGGCCACTGAGATCCCTCGCTGGGGCGAGCTGTCTAGGGCAGGGGTAGCTATCTTAGACCTTGACTTTGATGCTATTCTTGCTGCTATGTATACTGTGTCTGTTAGTTAGGAGGGTGACTATTACCGGTGTTTCCCGCCCGACCCAGGCATTGAGCCTGCTGCTCTAGGTGCTGGTGAGGCTGCTGCTCTTGGTGCTAGCGAGGCTGCTGCTCTAGGTGCTAGTGCGTCTGCTTCCTCCGGTACTGGTGAGTCTGCACTCTCAGGTACTGCGTCGGCTTCGGCCTCCCACACCTTCACACTTGACTCGGGGGCTTCTCGCTCCTTCTTTCGAGACCTCACCACACTCACGCCGCTTTGTCGGCCAGTTGCAGTCTCCCTGGCAGACCCCTCTGGGGGTCCTGTCCTTGCTCACTTCTCCACTGTCCTCCCTTGTCCGATGGCCCCCTCTGCCACCCTGTCTGGTCTTTACCTCCCCTCGTTCTCTACGAACTTGGTGAGTGGTGCTGACCTACAGGATGCGGGGGTTCACCAGTTCACTCCTGCGAGTCAGCGGATGACCCACTGCATGGACGCTCGGACAGGCCGACACCTGGCCACGTTTACACGTCGGCCGGGGTCGAGCCTGTACACACTGACCACTGCGTCTCCTCCAGTCCCTTCGTCAGGTCAGGTAGCTGCGTCGGGTAAGGTGTTAGCTGCAGTGTCCAGGTCTGATCCTGAGTCTGCCCCCTGCTCGTGTCGCCTCCTGTCTCACGAGACTCTCCTCTGGCACCACCGCCTTGGTCACCCCTCCTTGCTTCGTCTGTGAAGCATGGCCTCCCGTGTCCTTGTTTCTGGTCTTCCCCGGTCCCTCCCTCCCCTTCCTCCAAGGCCTGGCCCTACCTGCGTCCCCTGTGTCGAGCGGCGGCAGCGGGCTGCCCCCCACTCCTCCCAGTTTCCTCCGACAGAGGCCCCGCTGCAGACGCTTCACATGGACGTGTGGGGCCCGGCCCGCGTCCGTGGACAGGGTCACGAGCGCTACTTTCTGCTGGTGGTTGACGACTACTCGCGTTACACCACAGTATTCCCCTTGCGCAGCAAGGGTGATGTCATTGAGGTGTTGATCGACTGGATCCGCGCAGCTCGTCTCCAGCTCTGGCGGAGCTTCGGCTCGGACTTTCCTGTTCTGCGTCTGCACTCTGACAGAGGCAGAGAGTTCTCCTCTGGCCTTCTGAGAGCCTACTGTCGTGCACGAGGCATCCGCCAGACCTTCACGCTTCCGGACTCTCCACAGCAAAATGGGATTGCTGAGCGCCGCATTGGCATGGTCATGGACGTCGCCCGTACGTCCATGATGCATGCGGCTGCCCCCCATTTTCTGTGGCCGTTTGCGGTTCGGTACGCGGCGCATCAGATCAACCTTCACCCCAGGGTCTCCATGCCGGAGACCTCCCCAGCTTTGCTATGGACGGGGAAGGTTGGCGATGCGTCTGCGTTCCGTGTCTGGGGATCTCGGGCGTTTGTCCGCGACTTGTCTACGGACAAGCTGTCCCCTCATGCTGCTCCTTGCGTCTTCCTGGGTTTCCCCCCTGACGCCCCAGGGTGGCAGTTCTACCACCTCACCTCTCGCCGTGTTCTATCCTCCCAGGACGTCATGTTCGACGAGTCGGTCCCCTACTACCGCCTCTTCCCCTACCGCACTCCGTCCCTCCCCCCGCCACCGCTCTTCATTGTACCAGGTCCCCCCCGGTAGACCCCCTCCCCCCCTCAGGGTCTTGCCCCTTCAGGTGTGTCCCAGGTAGACGCTGTTGAGCCTGTCGAGGTCGCTGGTGACTCTGGTGCTGCTGAGGGTGCTGAGCCTGGGGGTGATGACTCTGGGGGTGCTGAGCGTGTGGGTGCTACGCCTGGGGGTGCTCAGCCTGAGGGTACTACGACTGGGGGTGCTGAGCCTGGGGGTGCTGAGTCTGGGGGTGCTGAGCATGGGGGTGCTACGCCTGGGGGTGCTGAGCCTGGGGGTGCTGAGCCTGCGGGTGCTACGCCTGGAGGTGCTGAGCCTGGGGGTGCGGAGCCTGAGGGAGCTGGGCGTGCTGGTGCTGTGCCTGGCGGTTCTCCTGGTGCTTCTTCTCGACGGGAGCGACTCTCTCCACAGGAGCTGCGTGAGTGGTTTGCCCGGCGCTGGAGGCGAGCTGCTGGAGCTGGAGGTGCTGCGGGTACTGGAGGTTCTGTTGCTGCTAAGGGAGCTGGTGCCACGGGTCCCGGAGGTGCTCGTACTGGGAGTAGTGGAGCTCCTGGGCCTGCGGGTACTTCTGGGGTTGGAGCTGCTGCGGGTGTTGGCGCGGAGGCCACTGCTGTCGGTCCTGGAGGCGGTCCTGCTGGCGGTACTACTGGTGCTGCTGGGGGTACTGGAGCTGGAGCTGCTACTAGTGCTTGGTGCTGCCGCTGGGGGTACTGGTGCTGTCCCTGCTCTGTCTGGAGTCGCCGCGCGGCCTCGGCCGTACTTCGTTCCGCTCCTTCAGCAGGTTCTTGGTCTCCCATCTTCTACTCGTCCTCCTCCTCCCTTAGAGTGTCCACAGCCTGTCCCGTCGCAGTTACAGTTACTGCCGGCCTCCCCACTGCCTGCTCTGTCTCCCTACAGTGGTCCTACTGGAGGTCTTGCTGAGCGTCGTGAGCCTGCGTCTCGCCCTGCGTCGCCTGACCGTGCTGCTCGCACTAGTGGTAGCGGTTCGCGTCAGCGTCCTCCTCCTGTCCCTGGCACGCACCGGATGTCTCTGCATCCGTCCACTGCTCCTCTGCGTGCCACTTTGCCTTCTCCTCCTGGGTCTTCTCTTCCTGCTCTTGCCGACCCGGAGTCGGACTCTCTTCGTGCTGCCAGTCCTACTGTCACGCGTCTCCTTGCTTCTTACGTCACTGACCCTTCCTTTGAGTCCACTGCTGCGTCTGCCCTAGTTCCTGAGCTCGTCGACTTTGCTGCTCGCTGTCATGTAGACTACGCTGCTAGTCTTGTCGCTGAGTCTGAGTCTGTCTGTCCTCCGTCCGTCGGGGGTGAGTGTGCCCTTGGCACGGACGTCCTTGAGGACAGGCAAGAGGAGTTCCAGTGTCTGGCTGCTGCTTCACCTCATCTCGTGTCTGTACTGCTTACCCCTGAGGGAGACCCGGATGCACTTGACATCCCGACTCCGCGCTCTTACGCGGAGGCGATAGAGGGTCCCTACTCCTCTCAGTGGCAGGCAGCTATGGACACAGAGATGGCTTCCTGGAAGTCCACAGGCACCTACGTTGACGAGGTTCCCCAGCCTGGGGCGAACATCGTCAGTGGCATGAGGATTTTCAGGGTGAAGCGGCCGCCGGGTTCTCCGCCTGTCTTCAAGGCGCGTTACGTGGCTCGTGGCTTCAGTCAGCGGCAGGGAGTTGACTACTTTCAGACCTTCTCTCCCACCCCGAAGATGACCACTCTTCGGGTACTGCTGCACATAGCTGCTCACCGCGACTACGAGCTGCACTCTCTTGACTTCAGCACAGCTTTCTTGCAGGGCAGCCTGCACGAGGAGATCTGGCTGCGTCGCCCACCTGGCTTCACTGGGTCTATTCCTCCTGGCACCCAGTGGAACCTCCGGCGACCAGTCTACAGTCTCCGCCAGGCACCGCGTGAGTGGCACGACACACTGAGGACTACACTTGCGGCTCTTGGGTTTGCTCCCTCTACTGCTGACCCGTCACTGTTTTTGCGCACCGACACTTCTTTGCCGCCGTTCTACATCCTCGTGTACGTCGAGGACTTGGTCTTTGCCACAGCTGACACTGCTGGACTCGCCCACGTGAAGTCCGAGCTGCAGAAGAGACACACGTGCACAGACCTGGGTGAACTGCGCAGCTACCTTGGCTTGCAGATCACTCGGGACAGAGCACAGCGCACCATTACCCTGACTCAGTCACACATGGTGCAGCAGGTCCTTCAGCGCTTCGGCTTCACGTACTCCTCGCCTCAGGCCACTCCTCTGCCTACTCGCCACTCGCTCTCAGCTCTGCCTTCAAATGAGTCCGTAGAGTCGAGTGGCCCGTACCCAGAGCTTGTTGGCTGCCTCATGTACCTGATGACCTGCACACGACCTGACCTTGCATACCCTCTTAGCATTCTTGCACGCTATGTTGCTCCTGGGAGACACAGACCGGAGCTCATGGCTGCAGCGAAGAGGGTGTTGCGCTACTTGTGCAGTACGTCGGGCATGGGGCTTGTGCTTGGAGGGCAGAGCCTAGTGGTCCTCTTTGGGCACGTAGACGCTTCTTGGGCTGATAACCAGGCTACGCAGCGGTCGTCACAAGGTTACACCTTCAGCCTTGGTTCCGGCTCTGTCTCGTGGCGGTCTACTCGCTCGTCTTCTGTTCTCGGCTCTAGTTGTGAGGCTGAGA